TGGCAGACAAGGGAAAGTAGTGACCTTCATTAAATGGATCATCTTGATTAATTGAACAGGGTAAAGTCTTGACTGAGTATGCACACCATGGCTGACGTTACAAAGCTGAATTTATAATCATCCTCGTCGACAAAAGCAAAAAACAGCACGGCTTGCCCAACATTGTCAGACCTACACATGCAGGTGCTCTGAAGCCTGTTGATATTTTCGCTATTAGATTATCGTTGCCGTGGAGACAACATGCAGTACGGCAGGGGAATTTCCTCACATGTCAATCAATGTTGGCACAACCCTAGTCTCTTATTCCTGGCAGAGAGAAAAGAAATTCAACGAGTGATGACGGTAAGATTGTGTGCAACGCAGGCTGAATTGGCTAAGGAGAAAGACATGCACGCATGAGAGCAGGTCCACTAGTCAAGGCATAACCGCTAAGGAGGCAGACATTCATTTCAACACCGGTAACCATCTCACGTCACACGTACAGTATGGATATACCTCATTACATCTGCAGGGCCTAGAACTTCACAGATACAATGAGACTCACATAATGAATAATTCAATCCAGTTCACAATCCGTCTCTGTGTATAAATTTGGGGGGCTCGAATTTCAAACAGACTTGCAAATTTTTGCAACCGACAGCTTCTGCAAGATCTCACGACATGAGCAGAAGAGCGAAGGGATCAATGCAGTCAAAGATGAAAGCTGAGCTTGTAGCGTTCTTGAAACTTGGTCCAACTGTAACCTTTCATCGGTTTGAGCAACCACAAGCAAAAAGGCAAGATAAATTCATCTTGACGCACTGCCAATCAACGTCCACATACAACAATGTCAAGCCCATTCTTTCACTGGCAGTAAAACTTCCCAGCACTTTGGGTATTAAAATGACGTCTCCGCCACAGCCATCTTCAAGAAGATTAGCTGATTTCCTTATAACACCTTGTAAGTGCCAGTACTTCAAACAACACAAACCTACACACAGGACAGAGGTTGTCTGGTTGGCATCAGCTGATGACAATCAAGAGTGCTCTGTGCAGTAACTCTGTGAAATGCTAAATTCCCTGCAGCATCCTGGAGGAGCTGTTGTTTACAAGCCATCTCAGCAATTCAGTTCACAAGGGAGCAGGGAGAAATTATTAAAAGATTGAGAGGAGTTAAACCAAATGAATTAAGACAAGTTTGCTGGCAAGGGCCCATGAGAGTACCTCCAGGGTGTGATGTCTCTGGTGCTTCGTTACCGTGGAGACAAGCGTGTCAAAGCAATTGATGTCGGTGCTCTTTACAAGATAAATGAAACAGCGCCCGGGGCATATCTGGAGACATCAGGGGTCGGCCAGAACAGTGTCAGTGATTAAATCCAATGCGTGGGCTTTGCCAGTTACTTCAATGTCCCTGCTACCTGACAGGCTTACCACTGGAGCCAAGATTCATTGATGACGTTCATAAAAAAACTGGGACAGACAGGCGGTGCTGCACCTCTGATGAAGAGGATTTTGTCATGTCACAGGAAGTGAAGAATTATTGGCACCGGACAGCGCCTGTTAATTTTCTGTCTCTGAAGATAATGGACACCAATGGACATGCTTGTCTTTAGCAGGGTATATACGAGAGACTTGTGCTTCTCATATTCCTCTGTCACCTCAGATCCATGTCTCTCTGTCATACTTTCAATGCATGACTGCTAAAGTGGACACTGAAATGAGTCATTCCAGAAATTAGGGCTTCATATTTTTTTGTGTCCCTGTCACATCTGACTTGATAATTTGTAAATTCAAAACACATTTTCTAATTTCCAAGAGAGGTGAATTGATGCAAATTGCCTGCCAAACAAATAGTCATAGTTTGAAATGATATTTCCATGTCGAATAACAAAGGTCAGATGTAACAGGGACACAAAAAGTCACCCTTTTTGGACCCCTAATTTCTGGAATGATCCAAATACTCTCTCCCTGATTTGTCTTTTTTACCCTTCCTAAGAGAACAGAACTCTCTTTAAGATGCAGTCTCTTCAAAGGAAAGAAAAATGTTGTCAGAGTAAGGTTCATCATCTAAGATGGCAAAACCCCCTCAATAAAACTTTACTGACAAACACATGGTGGCACTTTACATGCATTCACAGACTAGATAGTTAGCACCACGTTTATCCGGCCAATAGAGTCACAGACTAGATGGCTAGCACCACGTTTATCCGGCCAATAGAGTCACAGACTAGATGGCTAGCACCACGTTTATCCAGCCAATAGAGTCACAGACTAGATGGCTAGCACCACGTTTATCCAGCCAATAGAGTCACAGATTAGATGGCTAGCACCACGTTTATCCAGCCAATAGAGTCACGTTTCAGCACAATAATGAACACTCAGCATCTGATGCCAACAGAAGAAAACAACACAGATTGACAACTTCAATTACTTCAACAAAACCTCTTAGCTCCACCACCCCATTAACCCCAAAAAATGGTCAGACATCAAATGAGGAAAGTTATTGGATCAAATCCAGCTCCATTTTCTCTGCTTGTTAAAAATGAGAACACCCCTGAGTACCAGCCACAGGAATTTTCCACTCTCACAGCAGGGGGGATGGTCTTATTCTGATTAGACAGGGAATTAATTTCTCCTTATTTTTCCTCTCGTGTAACTGGTGTACATGTGACATCGAAACGTGATGACATTTTAGTCACATCCTCTCTAATGCCTTAGCAACCACAGATGCTCCCATCTCACCATTTGAATCTTTTATCAGCCACATTTACAGGTGAAAAGACTGGTTGGTACTCTCGGGATGTTTTCATCAGTGCCACTCCAGTAGTCCCATCAAAGTGGCATGTGATAGTTGCCAATGGCAATAAATGACGTATTCCCTTTTCCCCCCGAAGTTTCTACCTGTACATGACTAACCCTGATGCCAAAATGTCAGCAGAACTGGACATAAACGAAGTTCTCAGAATGAGAAAGACTGCAACTTTTAACAAAGTATGTAGTGCATTATTGGAAATCATATCCAATCCAAAAAGTTTTGATGAGCTTTTCTTTAATAAAAATTGGAGCTCAAACCAATTGAAATTTCATCAAGAGACCTATAGTAACCTAAAAATTTATTTCTAAAATGTAACAAATAGAAGTTAACCAATCAAAAATCAAATAAACTAGATTTTGGTCTCTGAGTAACATTTTAAACTAAAAAGTAAAAAACCTTCCCACATACGCACACAGACAATTCTTGAAGTTCCCATTTATCAGACAGGTCAGAAACACTCAATGATAAATGTAAAAAATATTCATATGCATGGAAAGTCTGTTACTTTTCAACAAAATCAATGTAAATTTTATCTTTAAAGAAAGTTGCTAATACATTCCTTTAAATCACAAGCTGACCAGAAAAAAGGCATCACTACATGTACATGTATCTACCCCACACAAGTCAAACTGACCTTGTTGTGGTGGTCATGGGCAATCGTTATGATAATAAAGTGCTGCACTCTTGTAAGTATGGTGCCAGGCATCCATAGCACCTTTTGATGCAGTTACCATAGCAACACAAAGTTCACACTCCATTGAACACTCTTAACGGGCAACACAACCAGAGCACCACTGCTCCCATTCACAATGGTCACCTCATTTTCCAGCAGTTTAAAAAAACCCAACACAAGACCTCATTAATTATTCATAAAATTAAAAGGCAACGATCGTGCACCTGCACCTGTGCGAACAGCCTTAATAGCAAACACAGATGTACATGTAAATGTACATTAATATTTGATCTGGTTGTCACATTTACTATTAAACAAATGAATGGTATTTATTTCCAAGTCTTGCACCAGTTCACCTTGAAATGGGTTAGACAATGACAGCTTTCAAACAAAACCTTTCACAAGATAATTCAACAGCATGTAGAAACCAAATCAGACTAACAATGTAATTTTTTTTTAATTCCGAATTAATCGACAGTTCACCGGTGGGGTTGCCACAAATTAGACCTACAATTTATGTTGCTGTAAGGTCATTTAAGAGACTTGTACATGGAAATAAAATAGAAAATTCATCAACTTTCAACAAAGCCGGGTAACAAAGCTACTGAAAGACCGTATTCGGGGGGGGGGATCATATCTACCCATTTTGTTTATTCATTCAACTCCCAAGAAACCTTTCTCATCCTTGCCAATCCCAACACCATACAGTAAACAGTCACATGAACAGGTGACCTCCAACAAACCTTGATGTTGGAGTTTGGCTGGGTGGGGATCCTTGGGTTCAATTTTAGGGAATTAACAATGGGCACAACTCAAGATTATCTTCACACAACTGCATAAGAGAACATACATGTGTACTGAAAGCAACTCTGGGTATGGGTTAACTTGACTAGAGGGCACTATGACAGTTAAATATATACATTCCATCCTGAGGACTGATAACACTTTCATAAATGAAGTCGGGATACCATGTATGTGACTGCACCGAGCTGTTCTTTTCTGAAATGTACCGATACATGAACCTGGGTTCTTATTGGACTTCACTGTACACAGTACGTAAAAATCGAGCACACTCCGTGCCAACCACTTCCAAAGTTCAAAGCCAGTTCTTGCTACATAACTCTGTGAAATCTGTGTCTAAAGAGGGCGCCGTTTCCATGCTACATTTCTGATCTCTGCCAGTGCATTCTGATGGATTTGGGCAGATTGAAGTCCGTTATTCATGTTGAGGCCATTTTGATCTTAGTCCCCAAATCTGTTTTATAGACTGCAAACTGGCAATTAGCACGGCACCAGACTGTTTTTAATTTCTGTGCGTTCCATGCCTCCCTTTCAATAATTTCAAACATCTGGCCAACTACAATTCTGCCTGTTCAATCATGAATTGGAACTCATTCATCAGAGTACACAGATACAAATTTGTCGTGAAATTTCATTTTATTGCTTTCATTTGTACTCTACACAATCAAAAATGACGAGTTCAGCTTCAAATTCAATATGGCCGGCCCCCTGAATATGAAAGGACCATCCTACCTTTCTGATGAGTGCCTTCCTTGACGTTCTTGCTGCTCTTCGCTGGTACCTTGGGTGGATCTGTACCGTACTTCTTCTTATACCATGCCATCTGTTCACCAAAAAAAAACCAAAATCCAAGACACTCTGGAAGAAAGTCAACCCTACAGCACATTACATTTGAAAGTTAACCTGGGAAAAGGAATTGTTTTTCAAACATCTATTCCCAGAAAATTCATTTTCATTTCACAAAACCCGAGGAAGAAAACATTTCACACATTTCATAAGTGGGAAAATATTTTCACTCCTTTTCAGATACATGGGAAAACATTTTCATACCTTCTCACACAAGTTAAAAGTATTTTTACACTTTGTGAAAACGAATGTGAGGGTGTACGCAATTTTTGGGGGGGCAAAATTTCCGATTCCTATTCAGTTTTAGCTTCCATTTGCAATGTACTCTACAAATCGTCATCTGCCGGCAGAAGGGCGCTCAGGCAACTTTTCTCACACAGCTCACATTACAGACGGCTTAATTACACCCCCTTTGCCAGGACAACAGAGGTAATAATGTTTTATTATGTGAAAATAGGAAAGCTGGATTGGCAATGACCCACCTCCTTAGCATCAAGGGATCCTTTATGTCGCTCAGAGAAACTACGCCTAGCAAAGCTGTCTCTCTGAAATTGGTTGTAAGGGTCATCAACCGGGCTCAATTCACTATCATCCAAAAAAAATTGATATGAACTATTTAAATATAATTGAATAATCAAATTATAAAAATGTTAATTCCTTCCAAAATAATAACGCATTTGAACCAATCAGTTGACCATGGCAAACTCGGTATTCGAGTGGTTAAGAAGTCAGCACTGTGCATAGTAAGCAGGAGGTATCGGGTTCGAGTCCCACCAAAACTTGTTAAGTTTTTCTTATATATTCTCAGAGAGTAACAAGTGTAGAATGCTTATATAACATTAACAATGACGGCTAATATCCAACAACCAATATAATCAGAACGTTTCTAGTTTGGGCTCACAACTCAGATTTTTTGGCCCCAACTGACTCATTAAACCCACTTCAAAGGGAGACTACCAACGATCCATTCGTACCCATTGTCCTGTTCAGCTTTCTCCCATGTATCCACAAGCCACTGAGGAGGGGATGGGGCTTGAGTTGAGGATGGGCTAGCAGCATCAATCTTAGCAAGAGCCTATCCAAAAAATAAAGTGTACTCCAAGGATTTGTTTTAATTATTGAAAACCAAACTCAACTGTTTAAATCTCTACCACACAGTACACAGCAATTGAAAGTTTGCCTGGGAAGGGAAATTCTCTTTACACTTTTTCTCTTCCCAGGAAATCCATTTTCGATTCACAAAATATTAAAACCTTGCCCACAATGCGAAAAAAGTTTTACGCCTTTTCATGCAAGTGGGAAAAGAGTTTTGTGCATTTCTCATGAAAACTGAAAAAAGTTTCATGTCTTGTGAAATGTGGGCGTGAATGTGACCATTCTCATTTGAAGTGTCAACTTTCAATTACGATATACTGTACCTATAGTCAATGGTGTGTGCAGGTGTACCTCAAGTACATGTAAGCAGAATTCAAAGCACAACACTTGTGTTAAGAACACAAACCAGAGAGAGTTCAGCAGAGTTCAAGCATCAGTGCTAATCTTTCCCAGTCCCTCATAGACCTTTATCGTCATGTTGCCATGTTTGTCTTGTTCCCTGTAGACCCATGGGTAACAGTAATACAACTTCACATATTCATAAAAGGGAACAGAATATTTTTCCTTCCAGCCTCAGTTTGGTTGCATTGGACTGAATTTTGAAAAAGCAAGATGGCGGCCATGTGATAGAGGTCTATAATCAGCTTGGAGGTTGTCGATAATTTTGCAATATTGAGAAAAGTCAACCCCCGCCATTATTAACTCAAAATACAGTTTGATGCTACTTGAAAGTACAAAGAATATGCTACTGGTTCCCAGCACAGTGATTGACTCAGCAGGAGCCAGGGAGGGTACCAGTGAGAAACGTTGCCGGCTTTGGGTCCGCCATGGCCTGAGTAAAGACAAGGAACGTGATCTTACATCGTCGACGTCAGCGTCCTCGATCATGACTACTTCAGCTCCTCCTTTGGGAATTGTGGGGGACAGCTGGGCGGAGTCTTCAGCATAGCCATCACCGCCTGGCCCCACATGACGGCGGGAAGACTGCAAGACAGAAAAGGAAAGCAGAGCACTCTTGAAGAACTGCTATAATTCTGACAATATTTGTACCGGGGGGGCAGGGTATTATGCCTCACACCTCTCAATACACAGCTGCCATTTTGGTTCTGCAAATTGTGACTCAAGCCCAATTAAAATCTTACAAAATACAAAAGTTGAATCCAAGAATAATAAGATGCTTTTATGACACAACTTTGAACATGTTGAAATAGAACAGGTTTTGATGTCCAAAGCGCACATTAAGTTGTGATACTTGTGAAGGCAAAGGGGAAATGTAGCAAGCTATGAACTGAATATCCAGCCTAACCTACCTCGATGGAATTCACTTTGTTTAAGACCGGATGCCTGAACAACTCGTCCATGGCATCCATATCAATGTCCATCCCTCTGGATGAGATAGACGCAGGGGTACCAGGGCAAACCCCCACCTCTCCATCCACTGACTCCGGCCTACCGACGTCGCCTGCTTGCTTGCCAGAGGTAGGTGTGGTCCCATCACCGGGATCAGTCCGACGAGCCACCACCAGGCGGATAGTGGAGCGGGGAGATTTGTCGCCAGACATGGACTTGCGCAAGATCTCCATGGCTCGACTGTTAGAGATACCCACCAGGGACTCTTCATTGATGTAAGAAGCTGATCGTTGGGTCGCAGTCTACCATCCTGCGGGAAGGTGTCGGTTGAAAAATGGGTGAAGCATTTTACTACTTACAAAGCTTTTCAACTTTCCCAACAATCAGCAGAGAAATACATGTATTTTGCTATTTTCCCCGAAAGAAAAAGTCACTTACTACAAATGCAATGCAAAAAAGCCTATAATTCTACTTTTTTGTCATCAGCCAACCCAAAATGGATCTCCTTTTAGGAAAATCCTTTGAGGATCTCAGTTTATCGCATTGACTCCAAATACAACAGCATCTTATTGGGATGAAAATGTATGTACCTGCAATGTATGAGGCAACAGTTCAACAATTTCATTCTACTGCCACACAAGCTCCTCGATGTGTTCCACTTGGAAAGATAAAAGATGCTCTACCTCAGGTCAGCAAGGTCACACTGCATCTATTCTCTCCTCTTACCTTGGACGCTGCCCCACCATGGATGACACTCTTGATGAAGATCCCCAAGTCCTTGGTCTCTCCCTCCGTACCGTTCCCAGACGTCTTTCCCTTGACGCTAACCCCCAGCCCTGCCGAGCCGGTATCATTCAGGGCAATGTCAAAGACAAGCACTCTCTTGTTCTTGGCATTGGTCGGATCGTCAGTGTTCTTCTCCTCAGGCTTTGAATCAAAAACCAGAATTTCAATAACTCTACGAATGCTGCCTTCATGGAAACAACACTGATCCCATAAAACAAACTGAAAGCAAGTGCCCATTGGATTAATTTATTTGATCCATCCTTGGTCAC